AACATTCCTTGCCATATTTTGATCTAACATCCTCTGAAACAGTAGAATAGTGATGTGCTGGCCAGTAGAGTTTAGTGTCATGGCTAAGCCTGCTGCCCAGACACACTGCTTGCACAATCTGTTTTAATAATTATTCAATTTAGGACTGATTTAACCCTGAAAGTAGAGAAATAGAAATCAAGAATTCTTTATGGTGTCTGGAGCCATTTCCCTGTTAGTTGGCAGAATACAATGATACTCAACCTCAACAGAACACCAGAACACATTTGGTAGAGTTAAAGGTGTGTGTGTGTGTGTGTGTGTGTGTGTGTGTGTGTGTGTGTGTATGTGAGAGAGAGAGAGAGAGAGAGAGAGAGAGAGAATGAATCACATACTATAAAATTTACATCTTTAAAGTGATGAGGCATGTTTTCATATACATATAAAATTGTGCAAAAGCAAAACAACAAAGTTAAATTTTGCCTTGAATCATGAATGAAATAACACAGGTAACTCTTGAGTATTAGGAAACTTGTTTAAAAACTTTGGTCCTTGCAAGGGAAGATTTTTTTTTAATTGTATCATTTTAAAATGTGGTAGAAAAATAGGAGTCAAAGGACATTGAATTTTTAAGATTTACAGTTAGATTTCTTTCTGTTTGTGGTTATATTTACCTCTTAGGTCTTCGCTTTACAGTTTACTTTACTCCTGTGGGTTTGTTATGTAGTAAAGAACATTCAGAGCAAAACCAAAACGCCTTAGGTACCCAGAGGAGATTGCTTGTGGTGTTCATCCTTTCCTGTAGCCAGTTCGTGTGACCTTAGTACTTTGGGACTTTGTGTTTCATAGCTCAGAGACAGCTGCTTCTAAAACGTAGAGCTTGGCTTCTCCCCACAGCTGTAGTAAAAGGTGCTACAAGGGCCTGCCGTCTCTCAGGACTTCTCTGCCCACTGTAAAGTCTTCCTGGCTTGTGTGCTAGAACACGATGTAAATAGTGTGTCTTTGAGTGTGTTTACAAGTGCACATGCATACCCACTTGAGCACACAGGGAACTTTGAGAGATTCCTTGCTTTTATAAATTGCCCCTTTTTCTTTCTGCCCTGTGGCCAGCCAGGGTATAGAGGGGTCTCCAGCCTGGGCACATGGCCCAAGTGTGCTGACAGTCAGTACCCTATTGTTTCTGTCCCCGTATGTGCGTGGACAGAGGCTGCACAACTGCCTTATTGAGGACCACTGTTTGTTGTAACAACAGCCGCAGCACATTCTACTGTCCACAGAGGAGCCATTCTGTCTTGGAGCAGTGGACTAGAGTCTTTCTTACTGCCTTCCCCATTGTTCCGAGAAGGCTGACAAGGGGGAGACATCCTTCTAGGCATGTTGTTGGGGAGTGATGCCAAGTCACAAACCAATGGCAGGTGGCGTCTGTTAGCAGTCTCTTCTGGATTGGGGTGAGGGTATCATTCTCCTGCTTCCCTATCTTTATACTTGTTGAACACCTCAGGATGGGCTCACAGGCGAAGGGAAGGACTTGCTTTGAAACTTCCATGGAGAACAGATGTAGGATGTAGGGAAGGGATCCAGTCTGGTTATGGGTTACTCACAATACGGGCTTGTACATCAGTGGCCTAGCCTAAACTTGATCTTGGGACCCTGAGCCATTCTTCAGCAGGAAGATTGAGATCCCAGAGATTAAAACACATGGTCACTGATTTACCCAGCAATGCTGCCCATGGAGTATCTACTTCTTACTTCTCCAACAAGGCAGATAGATGTTAAGTTAGCTTTAGCCCTACCTCAGTTACCTTTCCTGTTGCTGTGATGAAATATCTGACAAATGCAATTTTAAAGGAGGAAGGGTCCATTCTTAGTCTGGCTCCCCGTTGGAGGAGCAGTCATTTGGGAGGGAAGTTGAGGTGCAGGAGCTTGAAGGAGCTGGCCATAGCTATTTCTGCAGTCAGATCAACAAATGCTTGGCTTGTTTCTCATTTATTCGGTTCAAGGCCTCACTCCGCCTGTGGGATGGTGGCACCCTCAGCCAGGGAATCATCCAACCTAAATTAACCTAATGTAGGTTATACCCAGAGGCTTGTCTCAGAGCTAATAATGAACAGACTCCATCATGCATTAACCACCATGAGCCCTATTAGCACGGTTGGTATGGCCCTTGGCATAGTACTTAGTAAACCTTCAGTTTTTCTCATTTGAAATATCTTAGAAGCTGGTAATGGAAATTAAGTGAGCTACAGTGTGTGTTTATCGATAGAATGTGTTCAGTAAAGACACACCCTTCCTATAAGGATCAAGATGGTGCAAGAACAGGATAGAGCTCACGCTACACTGCTTGAGTACTCGTTGAGAAGTCGGCTTGGAATCTCATGCTGGTTGGAAGTGCATGGGAACTTCTAAGACAATGCTGTGTCCTGCAGGCGGCCCTTGAGGTACTTATTTCATAGATAGGACAGTTTCAGAACAGCCTACTTCTTGAATTACATTAGAATCATGGGGCTTTGCCTATAATCTCTAGAACAGTCTAGAATGTTTCTTTCTGCATTCCTAGCTGGGAGATTATTGAGGCACAAGTCTTAAGTGAGTTGTTGGTGACACAGAGGGACTCGATAGCCTCAGTGTACCTTCCTCTCCCTTTGTGCCTTTAGTCCTGATTTGGCACCTGGACAGCCATTTTGCTCTAAGAGGTGATTCTTATTTAATGGGCAGGTTTTAAGTAGGATTGATGACCCGTGAATATTCTACCCACAATCTTCCTGTCTACTTGCCCTTACTGCTAGCTTTTCATTAATATGTACAAAGGGGCAGATGCCTCTAGGAATGATCATAACAAGGGCTTTTACCCTTAAAAGACCCAGAAACCTCTGCCAAGGACCAGATTCCTGACATGAGCTCTGTAGATGTCTTACACACACACACACACACACACACACACACACACACACACACACACACACACAAAACCTTGTAATCAGACTCCAGAATACACAGAACAAGAGAGCTTTGATGAGTGATGAGGTAGGCAGCAGCTTTTCAGTGAAGCATTCTGCTTGCTTGGAACAACCCTGAAGTGCTCAGTTTCAGTTCAGGTTGGGTTACTGCAGGGCTGACAGAGATGGAGAAGAAGATTGCTCTTAGAGATTACCTAGGGGCACCTACAAAGGACCAGCTGTGTCTGTCACGTCCTGATACCTGCAGAAACAGAAGCAATAAAGATGGGGATAGATTTTGGACTTCAGGTACTCAGAAGCAGAACCCAATGCAGCTTTGTCTGTCCTCATTGCTTTAAGAAAGCAGTGGTTGCTAAGATTTCAGCATCATGGCCCTTATCCCAAAGTTTCATCTAGAGCTCAGGTGATGACTTGACTCCTCCTTCCCCACCTGCCAGTGCTGGGGGAAATGAATTTGAAGCGCGCATCGGGAAAGGTGTAATGTAAGAAATAGGTACTTCCTTTCCACCTCAAGTTGGAGTTGTGCTTGCAGGTGAGTGTACTGGTAGGAAAAAGGGATGAAGGCGACTGCTCTATTTTGATGCTAGTGGGGAACTGGGCGTAAACTAAGCTGGACATACACTGTTGGCCTACTCTGGGCGAGGAAGCAGCCCAGTGTTGGCAAGTCGGTTTGCCTCAAATGCCAAATCTCTTATCAGTAAAACATGGAGTGTATTCAAGACAGATCCAGTTGCGTCTGAAGCTGCCATTGCGGTGGCTTCACAGTGATAGTGTTGCTAGTCCTCTACGAGGACTGGGTAGGAAATCTGCCAAGCAGGAGTGTTACTGGACACTGTTCTTCCTCAGACAGAGCAGAGGCTGTCAGGCTTCTGAGGATGGAACAAGAGAGGTACAAGTAAGAGAGACCTCTTTCTTTCTTTCTTTCTTTCTTTCTTTCTTTCTTTCTTCCTTCCTTTCTTCCTTTCTTCCTTTCTTCCTTTCTTTCTTTCTTTCTCGAAACCAGAACATTTATTTTATGACTGACTGAAATCCTTAAGATGAACTGGATGCTGCAACAGCTGCCCTCTTGGGTTTAGGTGTTGTCCCTTCACGGAATCCATGTCTGAATCTTCGATAGACAATCTTTAGGTGCCTCATACGCCCAGTCCTGGTAGTGTTCGCCTCTTAGCCTTGGCATTCCAGTTATACTTTCTCTTGCGCTTGGCAGGGCAGCCACATTTGCCACAGGGGACTTCTGAAGGGGGTAGGCCTTGGGGCCACAGAGGTGGCACAAGGTGTGCGTCTTATTGCGGCGCTTTCCAAAGGATGACGTTCCTTTCGTCATCTTGCTTCTGCTGCCAAGGCCAAAGAGCGAGAGACCGCTTTCTGTCTTTTATTGTTTTGCTATTCCTCCGGCTCTAAAGATAGCTTCTTGAAGACTCACATTCGGTAATATTGGAAACTATGAAACCAATTTACCTTGAATGTGATTTTTCTAGAAGTCATGTTTTATTCTTGGTTGTTGCCATTTGACCTTGAAAAGGCATCTTCTTACCTCCATGAAAATACAATGATCCTCATCCTGCTTCATAAAGATACTCAAAAACATTTTTGAAATGATGAGGAAAAGTGTAAGAAATAGTCATTTGTCTGACTTTGAATCCCAGCTTCCTGGGATTTAATGGTTTGTCTTCTATAAAGACTGAGTAATAGTATTCATTCTTTAAAAAAGGATAACATGATTCATCTCATTATTCATTTGGGCTTCTTGCCAGAAAAGAGCCCAAATTCTGGATGGTGTTAGAAACAGTAAATTGCTTTATAAATATTTAGCTTTTAATATTATTTTGTGTATTCTGCAACTTATTCTAACAACTTCTTGATCGGTCCTGAGTGGTTCAAAAACAGTTGGAGGTTTTTAGAGGTTCCTTGCATCATTTGGCCGGTTTTAGTTGTAGGCTGTTTATGAGGGGCTTTGACATTCCAGGAAACGGGGAACAAGTCAAAGAAAGGCAAGTGAGTACCTGTGTGTGCGGTGTGTGTTTAGCGCTGTCTGTCTGACCACATTCTTGCGTTTTCTTGCAGAGATCCGGGCTCAGCTCACAGAGCAGATGAAATGCCTAGACCAGCAGTGTGAACTCCGGGTGCAGCTGTTGCAGGACCTGCAAGACTTCTTCCGAAAGAAGGCCGAGATTGAAATGGACTACTCTCGAAACCTGGAGAAGCTGGCTGAGCGCTTCCTAGCCAAGACACGAAGCACCAAGGACCAGCAATTTAAGTAGGAACTCCACGGCAGTTGCTGTTAGAAACCTTGAGAGTGAGGTCTGGGGTGCAGGGAGGCCACTGAGATCCAGGTTGTTTCCCGAGCCTGCAGTTTGTCCTCAAGAACTCTTCATTTTTCACACCAGTCTTATCTAAGGGAGATCAGAATAAGTGGGAGCCAAGCTAATGCGCTTTATAGCCTTTCCTGTATGTCAGCCAGTGGTCTAAGGTGTGTGTGTGTGTGTGTGTGTGTGTGTGTGTGTGTGTGTGGGAGAGAGAGAGAGAGAGAGAGAGAGAGAGAGAGAGAGAGACCATGCGTGTGACTAATAATAGATTTAGTAATGACCTTTTATTCATGTACGTAATGGATTTCAATTACATTTACTTCTAATACTGTCATACTAACCCTTCCTGTTCCCGCCCACCCCAGCGGATTCTCTTTGTCTTCCTAGCTAGCCCCAAAGGGAAGATTGTTGAACATTCATGCAACTAATGTCCATTGCTCATCCCTTGAACTCCTTCCTAGTGCCTTAAGATGTGGCCAAGAGCAAGCATGTCCTTTCCACGTGGCCTTTTAATTAGAACGACAGTCAGGTAATTTGAAGTTGGAGTGAGAACTCTGGACGTGCAATTCAGGTGATGCAAGGACCTAGAAAAGAAGGCCATTTCCACCCTCTTTTGATCATTACGATGTGCTTTATTTATTCCAGCTTATTCGTGTCTTATCTTATTCTAATAATCCAGTTGTTAGCTCCCTTTAATGTCTGCTAGCTACTATGCTCTGTGCTGCTTCCTATGGGGATAAGATTAGCTTTGGAATGCTTGGTTAACAAGGAAAAGAACCATGCAAACTATATAGGCAAAGGGGCTTAAATAATAGAGACAGGGGGGGAAAATGGATATTTTCAAAAACAGTGAAAAACAAGGTTAAGTAAGTAGAATGGGTCCCAGAGGATAGAGCTTTGACAGCAAGCACAGAAGGTCAATTTTGATGTGCCCCGTGGTAATGAGTCTCTGAGGAAAAGGATGGGCAAAATTATATAATTTTTTTTTAATCCAAAAGAAGAATATTAGGTTTTGGGGGTAGTGCATGTAGAATTGGATAGCGTATTTTAAAAAAGCAGTAGGGATGTATTTGTGTTAATAAGCCTCCTGTTGTTATGATCAAATAACTAAGATAAATAGACTGTAAGGAGGAAAAGTGTTTGATTTTGGTTTTGCCTCATGATTCCAGAGGTTCTAAGTCCATAGGTGTTTGATCTGGTGGGGGTGTGTGTGTCATTTGGTGAAGGAGACCTGTTCCTTCATGATATTCAGGAAGCAGAGAGAGGATGGAGCCAAGACAATCTTCCAATGTCCTAAACTCCTATTACTAGGTCCTATCTCCTAAAGATTCTGCTGTTGTCCAGCAGTACTACCACAGCAGTAAACAAGCCTTGAACCGAAGCCTTTGGTAGATCTTTCAGCCTTATAGGTAGCACTTTAAAAGAGGCATTTGAAAAATTTAAAAGAATCTTAATGGTTAGAGGTGACATGGTATCGCTAACCAGAAGAATTGTGGTGTCCTTTAGAACATGAAGGCATGGAGGAAACATGTTTTAAATAGTGACTCTACTTGGAGCAGTTGAGTTTGAGGCATTGGAAGGATTTTAGGTACCCAAGTTGAGATGTGGTACAGCAGAGCTCAGTATTCAAGTCTTTAGTGTAAACAGTACCGTGCATGTAGAAGAGAAAATAAGAGCCAAGAGTCAAAAGCCTAAGGCATAGGAGACCTCCCAGTGTTAGGAGATAGTAAGCAGTTCTGCTAGAAAAGATGAGAAAGGGGGCCAGCCCCTCCTCCCAGGCAGGTAAAAGGTGGGAGGGTACTGTGTCTCTCTCAGAGAACTATTAATGTTTCAAGGAGAGCTTGATCCCAGTCAATTCCAACAGTTTCTTTACTAATAATTTTGGGCTCAAGGCATCCTGAGGGAAACAAAGCAGAGTCAGATGAGCTGGAAGACTGGAGGGACAGCTCAGTGGTTAAGAGTGCTTGCTGCTTTGGGAGGATCCAAGTTTCTTTCCTAGACCCATGTCAGGCAGCTCACAACTGTCTATAGTTCCAGCAGTCTATTCTACTCTTCTGACCTCTGTGGGTACTGTATCCATACACACGCACGCACGCACGCACGCACGCGTGCGCGCGGAATAGAACTTTTTAAAAAAGAGCCTGCAAACAAGAAGCTTTCTTCTCTCAGAATGGAACATCTGAAATGCTGGTTTTTGTAGGTCAAAAACTCTCACATGGTACAGCCGACTACAAGGAGAGATGAGTCATTTGAACAAATGCACTTAATAAGGATAAGATGGAGAAAAACTCAACAAGAGCTCTAGGCAACTCTGTGTTGAGACTAATTCATTCCTAAAAATGTCAACAAAATCAGACTGAGAGTCCCCCTGGCTTACGTGCAATAAATGGGTTTTGTTCTTATAAATGTATATATGAAACTCTAAATTATCTTTCATTTGATCTTTTTCAGCCTTTGTACCTTTTCTCTCATTTTCTTCCTTTGCCACAATTAAACCTATGATCAACTTGGTTAAGTCCAGTGAGCATCTGAAGGGACCACATGCCAACTTCTGCCTTGTCTCACGGATGCAGTCACGAGACCTCTCCTTCTCGGTGTAGCGCTAGTGATAGAACCTTCACATTGTCATCCCCTCCTCATTTCTGTGTTGTAGAAGATGGCCAAGTGGTCAGATGTTTGTATACTGTAAGCGTTGCTGCAGAGACAGTTGTGCAACTGTGCTGATATTTTGTATGTAGCACCAAAATTTTTGGCTTTTTCTTTTCTTTCTTTCTTTTTTTGTTTTTTTATTTTGTTTGTTTGGTGGGGATGGGGGATATTTAGAGGCATTTTTAAGAATGACTAGGTTGGTTAAGATGGGTGCTAGCTGCTATAGTAGGCCTTAAGTAATCATAGCATATACAAGTTAGGTGTAGATGTTTCTGTAGATAATAGTCTGTTGGGCAGTCAGGACACTGTCAGACTCCTTTTCCCACTCCTAGACTGTATCCTTTGTTGTATGGCCCCAAGTAGCTCATTGCTGCCACGTCCCATTTCATCCATTGGTAAAAGCAACAGGACAAGAGGGCAGCATGTCTTCTGTCTTTAAGGTATAATCTGGAAGTGGCATGTACGTGCCTTTAACTCTTATCCAGCTGGACAGAACTTAGTCATGTGGTTATGCTGCCCTGGAAGGGAAACTAGAAAGTACATTATTAACTTGGATGACCTAGAAAGTAGGGTTTCTCTCGGTATGGAAGGGCAGAGATGTTAAGGGACAGCGTTTGCAATGTTGTGTAAGTGTCATGGTGTATGGAAAGACAGGTGTGTAGAAGAGTAATGCCCGTTGTCCATACATAATACACATACAGGAATGGTTTGTTCTGCTTAGGGGCCCAGGGAAGAGCCTTTTGGAGGTGAAGTTCAATGGATAGGCATGGAAAATTAAAACTGCTAATGCTATGTCTTGTCCCTAAATACATCCACTATAATTAAGACAATGCAAGCACTTGGAGAAGAATGAAGAAGCATTTTAGAGAGAAAATAGTGTTCCCAACAGTCCAGAGGTGACAAAAACATGGCTGGTGGATAACTCATCTACTTTTCTGAACAATATGAATTGTAACTGTAGTCCTAAATAAACCTGGAAAAGTTGGTAAGCTCGAAGATTACAGAGGTTTATAAATATTGGCCAATAGGGTTAGGGCTTTGTTCTGTAAGGGTAAAGGAGCCATTGACAGTTTCTGAGCAAGGAACTGAATCATGCCCATGCTGTAGCTGGAACAGGGAAAGCGCTTTTTAGTTTTCTAAACTCTGGAGCAGGAAGTGTGCCGTATCTTCATCCAGCCAGCAAACTATAGCCTCGGTTTTGCTGACTCTATGACTGGTCCCAGAATAGTTCCTTCTCAACAGGCACTTGTCACTTCCCCCCAGAGCTGTAGCAGCTGTTGGCCCAGTAACGCCACGAGTTTGTCTGCCCGTGTTGCCAGAACAGCTGCCAGCAGCCGCTCTGGCTAGATCCCGCTCTGGGATGTGGAATTTATTCAACTTGGGATGGAGCAGGTTGGCCAGGGCTGAAGACGGTGTACATAGATTCATCCCACCCTTTTCCAGGCTGTCTCTTACTCTGCCTCCATTTCAGCCATCCATCCCGGGTTAGGATAGTTGTTTTGTTATAGTTTTAAGTAGCCCATTTAGGAGCAACTGTTGCCAAACTCTTTATTTTTATCTTAGAAAATTTCTTCCCCTGCAAGCCCTTACCCTGTCACCCTAAGGCTGTGCTTTCTGTTCTTAGTGCCTGGCCACCTTTTGTCCTTCCCCACATTGCTGAATGCAGGTGTCCTCATTAAAACCCATATAGCTTGACTCCTGCAAAAATCTGACCTGATGCCCCTGACAGTGAGAGACGCTACAGACAACTAGCGTGATTATCCCATTCCACCTCCTGCTTGAAGACAGGTAATGTGGCCTCTCTGTCCCCTGGTTCTACCAGCCTTGTTTGATTCAAAGCAGAGGCATGTGGCAGTAGGAAGCCTTCCCATGGAAGATGCTTTTGCATTTTCTTTCACTCTTTGAAGAGCATAAATGTATTCCTGTTTGTTGTGGAGTCTTTGCTTGTGCCTTGACGACTTGGTGTTAGTGTGCCCCACAAGACTCTGAAGGGCTCTAATTAATGATGTGCTGGCTTTTCTTCTATCTGTCACACGGGCTGCAAATCACTTTTCAGCCCATTTGGTTTTGATCTCCTAATTTTAATAACTAATGTCTTTGTTATATTTTGAGGTAATTTCCCACTCCCACCCCATGTGGAGTTTTACAGAAACAGTATGCTTGGCTATCCTACTGTGTTCCTTATAGACCTTATGCTATTTTATAACCTGTTGTTGACATCTCTCTCTCTCTCTCTCTCTCTCTCTCTCTCTCTCTCTCTCCATCTTTTCCTTCTTCTTAATAAATATTTGTTGGACATTTA